GAAAGGAAGGAAAGAAACCCCATTTGAATTTACAACATGGCAAACAAAGCTCAGATCTCCAAGTTGGGACATGCAGACTTTTTAGAAATAGCTCAAGGATCTTTGCTTTATTGTTCTGTAGGAATTCTTACAATAATGTAAGCCAAGGCAACCAATTTAATTCCTTTAAACTTATTTGACAGTACTTGTATTCCCTTATAGACTGGGCAATGCCCAGTTGTTTTATGCATTAGTCTTGAACAGAAGTAAAACTAAAATGCATTACTTTACCATTCTAGTCTGTGTTCTGGCCTTGATGCTGCTGACCTGAACACTGTGTGCTGTGAGTTCAAAGTGTCCTATCAGGCTGGTTCCCAAGGCTGTGGGGACTTTGGTGAAAAACGAGATGTGTGCTGAGCTGATCACTGCTTCCCTACAAAACGACCAGCGTGTATAATATTACAGAAGTGGACGCAGCATTCATCCTTTCAGTTGTGCCACATAATCATATTGAAGCCATAAATCAAGGCCGCATGTTTCAAGGGAAAAAGGACTAGAAAAACACCTCCACAAACCACAAAGGACTGAGGCAGCAGGGGAATGGAGATAAGAGACTGACTCATTACATAATTTTGTAGCAAAAGAAGGTTGAATTCTGTCAACTAAACTAAAGTAAAAACAAACACACACACATAGACACACACACACACACACACACACACACACACACACACACACACACACACACACACACACACACACACACACACACACACACACACACACACACACAAAACAACTTTTGTACAGCTGACAGTATCTGCTTTTGCTGTAGATTCCTGGATAACTGAGGGATTACACAGATATTTCCAAATTTCTAAATTGTATTCAGATTTTAGTTTGTAGTTTGTATGACTTTATACCACATCTGATAAAGTGCATCAGTTTCAGTTAATTATAACGCATAATGAGGTGCGCAGTATTATTAGTTACTTTGTAGGTTATTTGTTGACCAAACATGATTTTAAGGCAATTTATTCATTTAGAGGACTGAAGCACATACTTTAGCATTCACAAACACAATAATAATAATAATAATAATAATAATAAAAACAAAAACAAAACAAAAAAAACATAATGTAACACAACACTCAAAACACTGGCAAAAAAATCAACAGACTGCCCGACTCTGATAATGTCATATTTTATTTACAAAAATAGTTGCATAAAAGACCTGTTTAAGCATGAACGTGGCTTAGGTTCCTTCAGGGAAAACTAAAACAGTATTGCCCTCTAGTGTCGCTTACATGCAACATTCATATGAACTTCACCTACAAGAGCACTTAGGACTAAGACCAAACATAAAGTATAAAAAGTGCCTATGTTCCAGAGGATGCTTTTTAAGAGTCATGATAATTCTAAAACAGAAATTACCCAATTATAAAAACATATTCAATCTGGGCCGCTTTGTTCACGAAAAATAGCCTGCTTCGCACACTTTCTGTTGTTTCCCCAGTTTATATTTGTTAAATTCTGGCAAAATAGTATACGTTTATACTCTGGTTATATGATCAAGCGTCTGTATATAATATACTGTTAAATATGTGTGTATAATGTGCCATTACCATCTAGGAGTGTGTCATAATTCTTCATAGGTCCACTTCAGCACTCTTTCTCCTCTCTCCCCCCTGAGAAGACTCTGTCACATCTGGTTTTTGATAGTGATTAAACATTGAACAAATTTTCTTTAATCTGGAGAAATTGCAATCATATTCTTTCATTACAGGCTTCGTCAAGCAGAACAATCCCATAAAATCAGCTGAATGTGTGATTAAGCGTGCTGCCTACCATCTTTGCTCTCAGAACCTTTAACTGTCAAAAAAGACACTTTTATCTTTGAGCCACAAGGGGGTAGAATGGCACTGCCACACCGCTGAACTCAACTAAAGTCTGAGGAATTTATTATAATCTCACTTTGACGTATGTTTTGATCTTGGACTTTCAAATCAGCCAGTCTCAGGGGAAAATAAACAAATAAAAGCACAAAAAATATTGGCAACATCCAATAGAGGGCAGCAGAGAATTGTTCATGATTAACTTTTTTTTCTTTTCTTTTTTAATTACACATGCCAATTTAAATATAACAACATTAATTGTGATGAAAACTATTTATAAAAAGAAAATATGTTCAATATCTGATTTACAAATGAAAATAAAATTGTAACACTTGAATTGCTTTAATATAATTTAACATAATATATTTGTTATAGCAGTATAAAATGTGATTCTTTCACAAAGTCCAACAACTAATTCTGAGCATAACAACACAAAGCATAATCCAATCGAAATCACCAACACATCTACAATGATGCTGCATAGGGTGCTGGTTGAAGTCCACTCACACTGCACTGTGGAGGGGTCCTGTCCCCACTTCCTGTCCTCAGGTCAAACTCATCCCTCAGGATCAGGCTTTCTCACGCTCAGAACCAGCACCACTGTGAGAACAAATACGCAACACATCACTAACAATATAATGAGAGGATTAACAGCAAGTCTGTGCATTATAAACCACAATTAATCATTACAAAATATGATCTTACTATTACTATATATACTAAGTGTGGTTACCCTAATAATATTCAGAAAGATTCAAATTTACATATCCAAGATGAAGCAGTTACAGGACTAGCTGATCATATCAAATGTGTCATCTACTCAAAGAAATCAAATCTTTTACCTTTTCAATTTCTGCATTATTGATATGATGTACCTTTTTTCTTTTTTAAATTTCTGTTTATTTTTTACAGTTGCCAACAAAAAAACATGACTTTTGTTTTACTGCAATTTACAGATAGTTTGATTCTGTCCACCAATAACATTAATTTCAATAAGGTGATCATTATTGTCAGTGGAGTAAAATATGTTAGTATCGTCAGCAAATAACTTATAATTTTGATGTTATTTCTGTTATTTCTGTGCAGATGTCAAATTTCATTGGCAGTGTCAGCTTTAGTGTGAGTGCATATGAAAACAGACAACTATGGAGCAAGTGGGAGTCTGCATTATAGGGGTCAAAAGCCATAAAGTTTCCTTTACGATGTCTTGGGAAACACTTATACCAAGAGGGATTCTTCTCGCTCTGTTTGTTTCGGATGAATAGCTCATGTCTATTTATCTGCTTAGTCACAAATCTTCTCATGCAACAAACTTTTCCCTTCAACCCTGCTCAACGAACTGTCTCAGCTAAATGCGGACTTATAAGTCATAATAAGATAACAACTAAAAATAACAATCAGTCTGATGAAATTAAAGGTGCAATTCCAAACTGAACCCCGACAGTTAGATTTATTGCCTACAATAATATGTAGTGCTAGTTGAAAAGCAATGTATTAAAGTAGAACGAACACTAAACAGAAAAAAATAGAACAGAATAACAGCAGCCTATCAAAAGCTAGCCTAAATAGTTTTATAAGAATTGTTTTTAAATTACTTATTAGCACTAGTAATCATTGTACTGATCATTTTTATAGCCTGACAAATAGCGCCCTCTATAGACATACCGTTGTTAAGGAATGCAAATAGGCCTACATTTGCTCATAATCATCATCATTTTAGATCAATCTTTACCATAAAACCTCGGGCCCCGTCTTAAGCCTATAGAATTTACACAGATTTAGTCACTAATGTTTTCAATAGAGCATTTAAAACGACATATCTACAACAGCATCTCAAATGAAACACCGCACAGTCAGCAATGACCTACATATACAACTGTGCTATTTTTCAGACATTTTATTGGATAAATAGACGGCGTTCGTACTTCGTGTCCGTTTCTGCAAGCCATCCCTCGCGCGTAATTGCTCCCACTAAAGTGCTTCATTATGTTTTGGCACAACGTCCTTCAGCTGGCACCTAGCTCACCGTGGGCAGTGGATGGACAGAGGGACGGAGAGGAGACCAAGACAAACCGTGGATCCTGGCAGCGGGTCAGAGTAAGTGCAAATGCTTTTGTGTCCGAATCTCGACGCATCCTCCACGCGCACCATCCGGACGTCTTCCCCGCTCTTAGAGAATGACATGTAGGTCACACTAGAATCCATTGAAAAAAACAACCAATTTAATCTGTTTTATGTTTTCTTGAAAATTTACAGCAAGCTACGCCAATCATAAAATGCTCACTGTGAGTCGGTCATCATATCGGCGCCTGCAACAAATCAAATAATAAAATTCATTTAGTAAATTAACAACAACGACACATACAGGCTCCTCGCCGCGATGACTGCAGTCCTGAACATGATGCTGAAATCAGTAGTAGCCTTAAAGAGGATGAAATCCCCGTGGTTGCTATTGAATGAGAAAGTATTTTACACACATGGCTGAGCAAATGACAAACGTAATCTTCAACTCTTTATGAAGTGCATTTATTAACCAGTCCAACGTTTTTATTCTAAAGCTTCCGTTTTGATTATGTTGGTGAAAATAAAATGCAATTATTGACAAGAGTTTACAGTTATCTCCTTTAGGAGACATTGGAGACTGGCGCGCACGTCAGATCTTCGATGGTCGTGGCAGTGTTTTACCCTATTATGATTCAAGACATGCCAGAATGTGTAATGTGTGGCCAAACCCATAGAATATACAAAATAATTCTTCCTCCTAGCATCAAACTGCAAGCCTAAAAATCTAAAAATTACACACAATTTTGTCAAGCTAATTCAATTTATACTAAAGAAACCGGAATAAACGAGTTTTTACGTACGCAATAAAACATATATCTTGGCCGAATGTATGCAATATAAAGACATATAAGTACAAAAACAACAACAAAAGCAATACAAGAACCATGATCAATTCATTTTAAATAAGTTCAGTCAGTATTATATCTAAAATTTTACGCAAAACGCTATCTGATTCACGCGTCTTCCACTGGCTTTTATTTTGAAATATAGAGTGTGCATAGTGGCGGCTTATAGTTTGTGACCTGACACCAGCGTTTGACAGGCAGCAGTGGACCGAGCAGCTGAAGTGCGTGCAGAGCTAAAAATAATCAACCCAAACCCGTCGACCAGATCTCATGTCTTGTTATTTTACATAAATATTTTGCCGTCTTTTAATTTTTTATTTATTTTTTAAATATTCCAGACCTTTGGAATGTACAGTTACGCGTGAAAACAACTTAACATTGTTGGAGGTAAGGTATTTCTGAATGTAGAATTAACAAAGCTAGGTTAAATAAAGGTGACATGCTTAGTAACATTTATGCTGTTAATGTTTCTGTCTTCAAGTGTTAAAATAATGCTTTCAACTAAATGTATTATTTATTAAACCATGTTCCTCCAGCAAGTTTGGGTGACTGTTGAAATTAGTGTCCCACTAAAGCATGCCTGTTGACATTAGTGTTGACATTCATTTTATTACTCTATCTTACCTAAGCAGACAATCTCTGTTCTTATGTAATTTACTGTCCTGTAACCTAAGTAGTAGCAAATAATTACTACTACTACTACTACTACTACTACTACTATTAGTAGTAGTAGTCTTAGTAGTATTAATGCACATAATCCAGTGTTAATCTCTGCCTTATTTGTACTACTACTGCTTTCTTTTCAAAGTCTGCTCGGTGACTCTATCACAATTGACACTTTGTTACCTGGTTTCTGTAAATGGCTGACTTACAGAACCAAACCAGTTACTTAAAAAATAGTACAAATAAAGCGTATATACAGTATGAAACACAGTATAAAGATAGCCAACCTTATATAACCACCTTAATGTATATATTTTTTGTTATTTCCATAGTAGTGTGAGGCAAGATGTCCAATGGAACGCCCCCCCTAGCATTCTGTGGCAACGATAACATAACTGCCTATAATGTGAATGATGGTGTGCTGAACAATGGCTGCTTTGTAGATGCTCTCAACCTGGTTCCTCATGTCTTCCTGCTCTTCATCACCTTCCCTATCCTCTTTATTGGTAAGATCAAACACGACTCCTACTGTCAAGTGTAAATGTTTCAGTGATAACCAATAGCTCTACTGAAACTAACCAACTGAAGCACTGTGAAACTGGATATGTCACAGAAATATTTAACTGAATGAAAGGATCAAACAGACAGCAGCATATAATATAAGTATGCAGAATACATAATACTATTTCAGAAATGGTCAAAAACATTTTTGACCAGATGTTTTTCAAGTATAAGCTTCTTATAGTATCACCTTTTGCTGTTGAATGAAAACTGCACAGCTGTCTTGTCACAGCATCTAAAGTAGGATTATTGAGTCAGCTGGAACTGAAACCCCATTGTGTTCTGTTTTATGTGAACACTTGAATGTAATGGACTGATTTATTCAAACTATTATTTAGACTAAGTAATATAGATCTGAAAAACAAAATTTAAACATCTTTGCAAGAATTCTTTCCTACATTTTTTGCAATATCCCTGCACATCTCTTAGTAACCAGAAGAGGAAGGTCAAACAGTAGCTCTGTTGATTTACAGTAATTTAACCCCATCAGGCCAGCAATATAATCTACTGGGAGAGCAGATGTGAATTAGATCTTAAATCATTGGTTTCAGTGACACATGCACTGGGAACATGTTTCTGTGTTTACATTCTCTGCTGACTGGACATAGTTCTAGTCACTGTTTAGTAATAGTGTAATAAGAATTTTGTAGATTAATAGTTGTCAATATAATAATAATATTATGCTACACTTTTTATAACTTAAACATTGCACTTTACATTGTGCTGTTCAGTCAGATATTAAAACATGGGAGAAAATGACAAAACAATGTGCAGGGGAGGAACACAGAAAAAGGAGATTTGAGATCTAATTAACTGATTCAATTAGTAGTGCGTGTATAGTTGATGGGAATGATTCTGACCAGCAGGCCACACAGCTCCCTGAGGAGTCACTAATTTATTCCTCTTGTGTTATTGTTTGTCCTAAAATTAAGTGGAATATTCTGGTTCTGGTGAGAAGAGAAAAAAGCACCACTCATATTTGAAAGGCTTTGTTAATATATAAATACTATTATTCAGTTTTATTGTTATTTCTCATGAATAGTATATTGTGTTAGTGTAATCATTTTGAAATCATTTTCACAAGGTATGTTTTGTAGGCTGGGGCAGTCAGAGCTCTAAGGTCCAGATCCATCATAACACATGGCTTCATTTTCCTGGACACAACATGAGGTGGATTCTCACCTTCTCTCTGCTTCTTGTCCATGTCTGTGAGTTTGCAGAGGGAATAGTCTCCAACAAGTAAGATTTACCAAGGAATAGCACGCAATCCAAAATTTATGAAACTCGTATTATGTTACTTGTCCTTCTTGACAAATAGCAAAATATTCCAAATGAAAGTGATTGTATTGTTTATCTAGGATGATGGTGACCGACCACCTCCATCTCTTTATGCCAGCTTTTATGGGATTTATTGCTGCCACTACGTCAGTGGTTTATTACCATAACATAGAGACTTCTAACTTCCCAAAGCTCCTCCTTGGTGAGACCTAAGTAAAGAAAAGACCTGAACCTTCATATAACTAACATACACATCAGAAGTGAATGGTATTTTCTCTTGGCACAGTATTATTCATCTATTGGGTTTTGGCCTTCATCACTAAGACCATCAAGTTATGGAAGTTTGCAGCATTTGATGTTGGACCCGAATATCTGAGGTTCTGTATTACAGCCCTGCTAGTGGTCTTGTATGGGCTCTTGATGGCAGTGGAGGTCAATGTCATAAGAGTTAGGGTATGTGCACTTCCATTTGTTATTTGTCATTTAGACCCGCTGTTGTATCTAACACCCCTTTCTCTGTTTGTAGAAATATGTTTTCTTTGCCAATCCCCAGAAGGTGAAACCACCTGAAGATTTACAAGATTTGGGTGTTCGCTTCCTGCAGCCTTTTGTCAATTTGCTTTCAAAGGTAGATGTAACTGTATTATTTAACATATAACAATGTGTGTAGCATCTTTTAAGAATTAGTAGTTACACTGTAATTTTTAGGCAACATATTGGTGGATGAATCCTCTCATCATGGGGGCACATAAAAGACCAATAGAGCTTAAGAAGATTGGCAAGCTGCCTATTGCCATGAGAGCACTCACCAACTACCTACGCCTGAAGGATGCATATGAGGACCAAAGGGTGATAAGGACGGGACTGCATTTAACATTTATTGTTAGTTTGTGCTTTAAAAACTCTCTCACTCTTACACAGACTGCTGAAGATCCAGATCGTGCCCCGTCCATTTGGCGCTCCATGTACCGAGCGTTTGGCCGGCCCATCCTCCTCAGCAGCACCTTCCGCTATCTCGCAGACCTGCTGGGCTTTGCTGGGCCGCTCTGCATCTCTGGCATTGTAAAATATTTGGAGAGTGAAAACAAAACAGAAGTCTCCAAAGATGTGAGTACATTCATTTATGTCTAGTACAAAGTTTATGTCAGTACACATGGAATGATGGAAATTCAGTATAAAGGCTATGTAAAAATCAAATCAATCAGTTTTAAATAATAAAATACCATATGCCTCTAAATTGTACTTTTGATAGTGGGTGGCTGGGTGCTCGAGTCAAAAACAAATTAGTTTCTTCATGTGTGATGTCACAGAGGTGTGGGTCTTTCACGATCCACGCAACTGTCTACTTGTGACATCATGTCTAAAGGAAACAACAAAGCAAGATCTGATATGAATAATAACATTGTTATACAATTTTACTGTTGTAGCAACTAGACAAACATACACAAATATGACATTTATGAGTGGGAATTGAGCTGATTCTCTCTTGTTTAATAAGTCAGACTAAACTAAAGGAAAGGAAAAAAAGGGCTTGTCTTCATGAATTAATGAAGTGTATCTTTTCTGTAATTTCTTTACCAGATGTGAATTTGTTGTTTTCTCTCAATTACCTACAGTTATTAGAATCAAAAACAAAGAAGGATTGTGCTTTTTTTAATAGTCAGCTACCTTTTACTATGCAACAGCTTGTGATTACATGGTAGGGTTCAGGTGAGAGTTTGAGGCATATACATGTATGTTATATATGTTCTTACTTTGTACTTTAGTTAGTTTAGGTACATTGATTAGTGTAAAATTAAATGTTACGAAGATGTAGAAGCTTGCTGAGCAGTAAAAATAGCCTAAGAGAGAAAACAAGAGTCACAGCCAATTCATCTGGCAAAAGCAAACCTGCCTGGCATTTAAGAGATGCCCTTTTCACTGTCAAGATACTCACAGAGACGCAGACAAATACACAATAGTCTTGTTAGTAGTAGCAGTATGTAATCTGACTCATTTAGCTTGGAGTTGTTAAGTAGCAATTGACATATCATTGCCAGTCTGTTCTGTGAGCATAATGGGCAGGTGAGATGCAGAGCAAAGCCAGGCAGCATTTCTGAGTGACATGGAAAATTCCTCACTCATCTAACACCCTTTAACTTTAATTTAGAAGAAGTACGGCTATGCATTATCTAAATAATGTGCACATTTCCTATGTTGTAGATTCATTTTGGTGTGCATTTCATGTCCTCCACTGAGCTGCTGCAGAATCCCTCAGTCCTGGCGGTTCTTCTGTTTCTGGCTTTAATATTACAAAGGACTTTTCTTCAGGCATCTTACTATGTCACTATAGAAACTGGTATCAACCTGCGAGGAGCTCTTTTGGTAAGTGGGAGAAGGTGTTGCCATAGTAAACCATTGTATGTATTGTCTCGTGTTTATCATGTCTGCTTCTTGTTTAATGAAAGCATGCATTAGGTTCCTTTCAGTTATAAAGGAGTCATACTCACATATGGTACTCTTTTTAACACTGTATTTTATTTATTTCTTATTTATTTTATTTTATTTTTTACACATCAAGGCAATGATTTACAACAAAATCCTGCGTTTGTCAACCTCCAACATGTCAATGGGTGAGATGACCTTGGGACAAATCAACAACTTGGTTGCTATAGAAACCAACCAGCTTATGTGGTTCCTATTCCTCTGTCCGAACCTGTGGGCGATGCCTGTGCAGGTACGGGATGGAAACACCCTTTAGCCCCACTATGATATTCATGATATGATATGATATGATATGATATTATATGATATTATATTATATTATCAAAGGTATTAAATATTATTAATGTCTGTTTTTTTGCAGATAGTGATGGGTGTGATCCTCCTTTACTATTTTTTACGCTCCAGTGCATTAGTTGGTGCATCAGTCATTGTTCTTTTGGCTCCAGTGCAGTACCTTATAGCAACTAAACTGGCAGAAACACAGAAAAGCACACTAGTAAGTTAATAACAACAATACCTGATATTTTACTTTGTTATGTTTGGGCTATGCTACTTGTATACTGTGCTTTTTTCTATCCATCCATTTTCTTTCACTTATCTGGGGCCATGTAGCGTGGTAGCAGTCTAAGCAGTTTTTTATTTCTTATTTGAATTATAATAGACTGCATATGTCTAAATACAGGAATACTCTACTGACCGTTTGAAACAGACCTCTGAGATCTTAAAAGGAATAAAACTTCTTAAGCTTTATGCCTGGGAGAATATCTTCTGTGACAGTGTGGAGGGCACTAGAGGCAAAGAACTCACCAGCCTGAAGACCTTTGCTTTCTACACATCTTTGTCCAGTAAGATCTAGCAACATGTGTTGACTACAACAAACTAAAAACTAACTCTAATGCACACTTTTGGTTTTATCTGCAGTTTTTATGAATGCTGCAATTCCCATTGCTGCTGTACTTGTGGTAAGACAGTATCTTGACCCTAATCAACTGTTGTTTCATATGTGACCGTAACACATCAAACAGATATTTTGTGTATCACTTGCAGACATTTGTGATGCATCATTTTATTAATACAACTGGACCAAGCCCCTCTGATGCCTTTGCAGCTCTGGCATTGTTTCACATCCTTGTAACACCTTTGTTCCTGCTTTCCACCGTGGTCAGATTTGCGGTGAAGGCTTTGATCAGGTGAGGGGTGTTGACCACCTGATCTTTTGGTAGTATAATTGGATTAAAATTCTGCATTTTCAGTAATAAAAACAGATAAACAGATACTTAGATTCAAATTCTGCCTTTAAACTTTGTAATGCTGGATTCACATTTAACACAGGGTTGCGGTGCTCTGTGGTGATAATGTGACCATGCCCTGATTTCAGTAAACCCCACCCAACCTGTGTTAAATGTGACTATGGTGTAATTGTTTGTATTAACGTCATCATACTGACACATTCATGTGTGTCCCCACAGTGTGCAGAAACTTGGAGAGTTCCTTCAGAGTGATGAAATTGGAGATGATAGCTGGAGAAATGGAGACATGCCTGTTCCATTTGAGACTGGCAAAAAACATATGGGGACAGTAAGTAAAAAAGATATAAAACTGACACTACAAAAACATGTTTGTACATACAAACTCATGAGATAATTTGTTTAGACCAAGGCCATTAACAGGAAGCAGCCAATACGTTATCAAATGGACAACTATGAGCAGCCCACCCGGCGACAGATGAGACCCACAGAGACCGAGGATGTGGCCGTGAAGGTCAGTGAAGTTACGAAGCATATACTTCTACTATGTTTTATGTTGTACTGTTTGAGAAATACTTTTATAACTGAGTGTTGTCCTGGTTATACAGACCCAACAGTATGGGCCAGTAGTATAATCAAACTTTATTGGAGGTCCACATATGACGTCTTTTACGTGTCCATCCACACGCTCTCAACACAGGAAGTTTGAAGTTCACACGAGAATTTTGGTGTCCAACGTTTTCTCAACCTTCTGTACAAACTCTTCTTCCGGCCCCATCCCGGTGGAGGGGGGCTGCCTAACTACCTCATTAGTCCTTCAATATTATTTCTTTTTAAGGTCTCCACACAAATTACATATAATCTGTGGGTGTTATATATTTATTTATGTTAGTGGGGGATCATGCAGAAATATCTGCTGGAGAAATGTAGAGATTTTACACTCACATGCACGCACACATGTACACAAAACATAAAGTAAACAAATAACAGAACAGATGGGAGTCATGTAAACTAAAGCTCAGCAGGAAGCAGGGTCAAAGGTCACCAAGCATGCATTAGATATAAAGCCTTTTCACTCTTCCTTCAGTGGTAAGACAAAAATTTGTCATATTAATTAATGTGTTAAGAATGCAATAGATTTTTTTTACCACACATTTTAGCCATTTTAATTTTACAAAAAAAATCATATATATATATATATATATATATATATATATATATATATATATATATATATATATATATATATATATATATATATATATATATATATATCATATATATTCCTCGCATCTCAGTATTAAATGTGAAACCTTTTAGCACAGTGTCTTGTATGAGATATACTCAACTCAAATATTATGCGAGGAATGTAATCTAATTATGATTTTTATTTCATTGTTGTAGGTGATCAATGGATGCTTTACCTGGGGAAGCAACCTGTCCACTCTGTCAGACATTAACATCAGTATTCCCACAGGTATCCACATAAATGTTGCACAGATTTCAAATATTGTTTACAGCTTAGAACGATTAGAATGCCATAAATAAATTATATTTACATTGTTACATTGACATGGGCACTTTTTATCCATGTGAAGTGGATATTCCCCCATTCACATGATTCCCCATTCAAACAAATTCCAACTTTAAAATTTATAACAATGTAACTTAACCCTGGATTAACTTATTCTCTATAAATACTACTTTGGTCTTCTGGGACGCAACCAAGACATTTGAATGTGTGGCCAGGGTAGCCAAATACTTTATATTGATATGCTATACTGTATGTGAGGAGTGAGAAAAGCTAGACATACTGCACTGGCTCCCAACAAATGAGCTGTTTAAAATATTATCCACCCATGTGAAATTAACTCGCTTAGTATGTGAGTATACTTCTTTTTACATTATTTAAAAAAAAAAATGTGTGCCGTTATTTTTGAGAAGCTTCAACTTCAGTCTTTCAGTGGCATTCATGTTTCTACAGTCTACCCAGTAGTCTATTTTAGAATTGTGACTGAGTAAGATCAAGTGACCTTCAGTTGTTTGTTGGCATGCAGTTGAGATGGTGCATCCATATCCCAATTTAACCCTCTTTTCCTCTTCTAGGTCAGCTGACGATGATTGTAGGCCAGGTGGGTTGTGGGAAATCTTCTCTGCTGTTGGCGATGTTAGGAGAAATGCAATCCATGGATGGGAAAGTTTACTGGAGCAAGTAAGATTATTAATGACCACATATGCTTTGCCATTCACTCTGATAAACATGATGCTCTCCCTTTCTCATACTACATTTTGTAATTTTATAAAGCACTTTTCTCATGATCAAACTTAATGATAAATGCAACAAGCACATAGAATTGGTTAATATTGGCTACTGATCAGTGTCATTTTTAGACCACACAAGTTATTCTATATTTTTCAACTATTCACACACAGTTACTTCTGCTTTGTGAACTATTATTGATTTTTGTCAGTGCTGAAATCAAATATTTCAACAGTGAAAAACTTTTACCTAAACCCCTCTGTAATGTTTGTTTGTTGATGTGCTTTTGAGAACTAACCATAGAGGTTGAACGGTTCCTTCAGAATGATCATATACCATTTCAACCTGGGGAGATACAAGAAGTATTAGTAGTTTTATTGATTGAGTTACCGTTGGTGCTCAGACCCCGGCAACAGACATTATGATGAAGAGCTTGGCCCATTAGATAATGTTTAGGAGATATCTTCTCCTGAGGCCTGGAGACGAGAGATGATAGAGGTGAGGCTGAGGAGAGTGAAGGGGAAAATGAGATGGTGAGAAGCCGTGGTAGTGCTAGGGAGGAGGTGGAGTGTGGCACAAACTGAAGCGGCTGTGCATCTGCAGCAGTGGTTTAAATTGGGCAGATTGGGCATGGATTGGACAGGAGGAGGTGTGGTTAACGCCAGGGAGGAGTATTTGGAGTTAGGGATGAAGGCTGAGAAGCAGGTCATCTCAGGTAAGTAGACAGGAGTGAAGATCGGTTTTCCAGGCTTAATTTACACTAGCTCCATTTCTATGTATACTTATGTACTGCATCATCTTTTGTGTGATTGTTGAGAGTTCTGTCTGTGCACGTGTGCCTGTACTATCTTTCTCTTTACCTCCTACCTTCTTGCTTACATCAGGCTGCCTAATTGTGAGGCCAGTCCCGATGGAAACATCAGGTATCTCCTCTTGGCTCTCTCCTTTAGTCATTATTCATTTCAGTGTAAGCTTCTTTACATTTAACATCACTGCTGAATATTTTAGTGTTGTCAGTTTAAGTAGCTTAAAATTCTCTGTGTGTTCATATGGACACAAAAGACTAAATCTCAGTACTAAAACCCAAGCAAGTCATATCACTTAAGTCAGCCTGGTGACTGGTAATGTCAGTATTGAAGTCATGTACATTTATTACTTGATGCATTTTGCTCTGAGATGGCATGCAGTTCATTGAAATGAATTTGTGCTTTTTGGTTTTATGTATGTCTCCTCTTGTATTACTGTAATACTGTAAGACTTGACATGCAAGTTTTCATTTTTATGTCATGAAAAGCCTCAGTTTTGTTTTTCTTTCTGCTCTGCTGTTTGTGTCACTAACAGCCTGATTTATTATCTGATTATTACCTAAACATGGTGAAAGAAATGCTCTCTAACATACTGGCATGACTTTGACAGTTGGTCAGGGACAGAAGAGACAGCTGAAGACATCAGGAGGTATAGGTTTTGTGGTGTCCTAGTCCCATTTTGACTGGTGGAGTGATCCCATGACCTCTCTTCTTGTTCCTTGTCTGTTGTATTATTTATTTGTTTTATCACCATCTCCTTAATTTTCATCTGTTTTGGAAGAAAGTACATTGTCTACATTGTCTTTGATGAATAACTACATATTTATATTTCATTAATTTAGTTTGTGTATTATGTCATTTAGCTTACACACTATCCAGCATTATTTAACAATACTGAGATTGGGTTCAAGAAAATCATGACCTTATTTGTACTATCTTCCTTTCATCAACCATGAACCCATATGTAATTTATGATTTTAGTATTTTTTCATTTTATTCAAAATGGAATGTGTGTGGTGTGTCCTCACAGTGCTGGGAGCCCCCAAACCAGCTACAAACTGAAATTCCAGTATAAAGTTATAAAGTTGAAATTTGGTTATGTCATAGCAAATTAAGACTTATTTGTGTTTATTAATTATATATTATGCTTAAAAATAACAAAAAATAACAGAAAGCAGACAAATCTCCCAGTTCCTGTTCATATGTGTTTATAACTTCATTCATTTTATATATTTTTGTTGGTTAATCTTTTTTGATCATTTAGCTCAATCCATGTTTCATTTTCATATCGTCTGATGTATCCTTTATGGTGCAGTGGTGTGTGACTCAACAATATTGCTTTTTATTTGTTTTTATATACTACCTGTTTTGACCAGGAAAACTGATTGTAATTACAATTTTATTTAGAAAAATGCTATGAATTTGAACTTAATAATCAGTGATTCTCAAAGAATACCTACAAAATGGATCAGTGTTCCTGGTGATGTAATCTTTATACACTGCAGTCACTAGAGTTTAATGGTTTATTTTAAAACCTCTTGTTGTTAAGCAAAAACAGGTACTCTGTGGCCTATGCTGCTCAGAAGTCCTGGCTACTCAACGCAACAGTGGAAGAAAACATTACATTTGGAAGTCCCTTTAACAAACAGAGGTAAAACTATACCCCTTTTAGTTTAAATACATGAAACACTGACACACTGTATATCTTAAATATTAAAAATGATACTTATTTACTCTTTTGTCAGATATAAAGCAGTCATAGATGCTTGTTCCCTTCAGCCAGATATTGACCTGTTACCATTTGGAGATCAAACTGAAATTGGAGAGAGGGTATAGCATTTTTATCCTATTGCATTTAGTCTATAGTTATTAAATAATTATTAAACATGAGTGTGATGCTATATTTAAGGGAATCAATTTGAGCGGAGGGCAGAGGCAGAGAATTTGTGTAGCAAGGGCACTGTACCAGAACACCAACATTGTCTTCTTGGTAAGTTCATCTTATTATCTGAGTATTTTTAATCAATTACTATTTTTATCCTAATAAAATTGTATTAAAATAAAGTTAATTTAAAAAGAATACCAAACCTGTGTCTTAGGATGACCCATTCTCTGCCCTTGACATCCACCTCAGTGATCACCTGATGCAAGAAGGCATCCTCAAGTTCCTCCAGGATGACAAGCGAACTGTGGTGCTGGTTACTCACAAGCTGCAGTATCTTATACACGCAGACTGGGTACACATGAACCATCTTTTTAAAATCATCTTTTATCAGAATCTTTGTGACCTTTAATTTGAATCATGTCAATCTAGATTATTGCTATGAAGGATGGTTCTGTTTTGAGAGAGGGAACTCTAAAAGACATTCAGACACATGACATTGAGCTTTACGATCACTGGAAGACATTAATGAATAGACAGGACCATGGGCTGGAAAAGGTATGTATATAATTCAGATTTATTGTAATTTGTATATTATTTTCTATGCTAACACTTATCTGTTAGGATATTCAGCAGGACAGTCAAACAACTCTCGAGAGGAAGACACTAAGAAGAGCATTTTACTCCAGGGAGGCCAAGCTTGATGATGAAGAAGAAGGTAGTTCCCCCCTCCTTTTCAGCCATTAAAGGACCACTGAGTTAAACAAATTTTTTTCCCAAACCATCAGAGGAAGAGGAAGAGGAAGAAGAAGATGATAACATGTCCACAGGCACAACCAGAAGATCAAAAATCCCTTGGAAGGTACATAACTCTGGTTTATACATATAATCCGTAACACTGTTGTTACTGGATTTTGGTATGTGCTGTTGTGAACCACGTAAATACAGTTAAAACAATGATATTTGCTCATGTAATTTTTCCTTTCTCACAGGTGTGCTGGTGTTACCTCTCCTCTGGTGGTTTTTTCATGGTTTTCCTCATGGTGTCCTCTAAACTACTCAAACACTCTGTCATTGTTGCCATTGACTACTGGTTAGCTTTCTGGACCTCCTCCAAAACCAATCAGAGCAGGCCAAATGGGACTACTATCACTCCTATGCTGTTAGATGAAGATGTAAGTTTTTAGATTTTTTATTTATTTATTTTTTGATCTAGCATTTGAATTCTTGTTTGTGCAAATTGATGTTAAAGAGGAACTATGTTTGTATATGGGGGATCCAAAACCTTATTTCATCTATTGAGATTTGTTGTTTTATCTGAGCTTTTCCACAGAAGCCCAGAAAAGTTACACAGTGCACCTTTAATATGGTCTCTACTTTGCAGAATGGTTCTTATTACCTGCCAGTCTTCATCATTTTGTGTGTTGCTGGACTAACTCTCTGCCTCATTACGTCTCTCACTGTGGAGTTCTTGGGTCTTTCTGCAGCCACCAACCTCCATCACAACCTGCTCAACAAGATCATCCATGCCCCAATAAGGTAAAAAAAAAAGTAAATTATAAGGGTTTAAAAATATGTCATTTCATTCATACATTTTGTTTCTGATTTTAACAGATTTTTTGATGTAACTCCACTGGGGCAGATTCTAAACAGATTTTCAGCAGATACTAATATTATTGATCAGGTATGTGATTGATTTGTCATTATAGTACAGTGTAAAATGAATAGGGGGTTTAATTGTACACTAATTGATTTTCTTAATGAAATAAAGATTCAGTTGTTTCACAAGTCGTATTTATTAGTTTTTTAGTAATTACTTTGTTGCTGTTATGTCTTTTCAGCATATTCCTCCAACACTGGAGTCTTTGACTAGATCCACATTGCTATGCTTATCTGCCATCTGGGTCATATCCTCTATCACTCCCATATTTCTGATCGCCTTGGTTCCCCTGGGAGTAGCTTTTTACTTCATCCAGAAGTATTTCCGAGTTGCCTCAAAGTAAGTTCACGCACTGTAAGTCTTTCAAATTCAAGTTCTAACATGCAAATTACTGCTCAGGGATCTTCAGGATCTAGACGACGCCACGCAGCTGCCTCTGCTCTGTCACTTTTCTGAAACAGCAGAAGGCCTGACCACTATTAGAGCTTTCAGGTACAACACACCAGTCAGTGTACCTTTGTTCACCCACTATTAAGACACATTTTATTTATTTTTATTATGCATTACACTTTTAAAGACATGAAGCACGATTTAAACAGCGAATGCTAGAGCTTACAGATACCAACAACACAGCTTACCTGTTCCTGTCTGCTGCTAATCGCTGGCTGGAAGTTCGCACAGTAAGGAGTTTCTTTGTTTAAATGGTCTTTATATTTCACTCTTGTTTACTATAATTGTTTTGCAATTTCACTGGATTTTGATCATCTACACCCCACATCACTCTTTTGCTTTTTTTTTGAGGATTATCTTGGGGCTGTAATTGTCCTGACAGCAGCTGGAGCTTCTATTTGGAGTTCACTGTATGGTCTGCCATCTTCTGGGGGTTTGGTTGGCCTTGGACTCACCTATGCTTTAACTGTAAGTTGCGGTTCTGGGGGAAAAGGTGGTCCATGACCTATTAGTAATGTAAATGTAAATGCATAATTCTTATTTCTGTAGGTGACCAACTACTTGAATTGGGTTGTGAGAAATCTGGCTGACTTGGAGGTCCAAATGTCAGCTGTGGAAAAGGTGAACAGCTTCCTTGGCACAGAATCAGAGAATTATGAAGGGTCTATAGGTAAGTCGTTTAGTCACTATATTTATTATTCAGGTGTTTCTCCATACATTATGTTACAGGTGAAAGTGTTTTTGAGTTATATGCTCTATTTTCCCATTATTATTTGTCTCAAATAACTTAATGTCATGTTATTTAAATTTTGAGCTGCTTGTGTCTCAGTCCCCTCTTTACGGTTTTCAGACACCTCTCAGGTTCCCGAGAACTGGCCTCAGAATGGAGAAATTAAAATCCAGGATCTGTGTGTGCGCTATGACCCCATGCTTAAACCAGTGCTTAAACATGTAAATGCGTTTATTCAGCCTGGACAGAAGGTTAGTCGCAGATTGTTGTCAGATACTCTATGTTCAAATACATGTATACACACCAAGTAATTCTCACACAGTTGTTGAAAACCATTGTCGTCACATCACACTAGATTGATAAGGGAGACAATTTTGGTGTATCCATAACCACAGTTTTTCATAATATATTTTAACATCTCATTGTGCAAAGCAAGAATAAGAAAAAATCCTCCCAGTTGTATTCATTTTTTATACCTCCTTTGAAGTTGCTTTGTTTTGGGTTGCTAAAGTCATGGCTCTGGTTGAGCATGTAGCTGCCACACTCTGTCACACAGGTGTCTGATTCCTCTCAGCTGTGTCACTTTGCTGCTCTCTGCTTCAGGTGGGAATCTGTGGTCGCACGGGCAGTGGCAAATCTTCACTTTCGCTGGCTTTTTTCAACATGGTGGATATTTTTGAAGGTTGGTCTGAGGCAGGGCTTACATGCAACACTGGAAAATACCTTTTTAAATTTGTTATGTATTCATTCAAGGTGCATTTTGTAACATTTCAGGTAGGGGGACCACCATGTGCTTATCTGTAACTTGGTCACATATCTTCATGGAGATAGATATGTTTAATACCACACTGTCTAACATTCTTGCAAAGTATAAACATCTATATGGAGAAAAGCAGGTAGATCCTCCACCAAAAAATGTATCAAGTGCACCTTTAAAATGTAGTGGGTTTTTTTTGTTTTTTTTTAAAACAGAAAGTTCTTTCATTCTTTCGTACTAGAAACATGAACACCAAATCTGGTTTATTTATACTTAATAAGTGATTGTGACAAATTCATCAACTGTGTAGCCAAATGTTTCAAGTCATAACATATAATTATTCTTCTACATCTTAAAAGCAGGAATGGCTATAAACTTTACAGAGAGACAGGTAATTATGTTGAATAGTGTTGACAAAGCTCCATCACAGAATACTAAGTGACTAATTGAATGGTTTAAAAAAAAATGCAGTATAGGATTTATTTACCTGGCCTTAGTAGCTGTTTACTGTCTAGTTTTAGAGTGTACATTTCAACTCTTTCATTAGAAATACCATTGTGTGACTAGAGACACATTTGTATGTCACATTTTTTCTTACGTTTGAAGTCTTGGCCTAAGAGGTCTTGGAGTAGCTTCTCCAATGACCCAAATATAGACTTTCAGAAGACATCCATCCACTTTCTTTCAAGAATGTGGTTTAAAGTTATTTGAGTTGACAGCCTCAAGTCTTTAAATTGCTTTTGTTATGAATTGGATTTTAAAAGGAAGTTAATTGTGTGGGTCTGTTTTCTCTCCAGACTATGACTAATTCACAGACTGTGAGGAGAAGAGATTACATAGTCACTTTTTCCATACACACAGACACCACAGTAACTGGCAGCTGGCCTGGCTTTTCTTAAACAGTAAATGTGGACTTTAGAGTCAGCATCTCCTTATAAAGCAGTGGAGTACAACCATATCAGTGTCTTTGTGATAGTAACTCAGCTCCACAATGGTTTTTAGACTTTGCTGTACTGCATTTTAAGTGAAACACTACAATCAATATTGTTTCAAATTTTAGAAACTAAATATATTTCATTTATTGTTTCCAGGAAAAATTGTCATTGATGGGATTGATATTTGCAAGTTGCCCCTGCACACTCTCAGGTCACGGCTCTCCATCATTCTCCAAGATCCAATCTTATTCAGTGGCTCTATCAGGTAAACACAAGTTGTTTGTTGGAGACTGAGAGAAGTTGAACGTATTATATCATTTGCATATAGTAATGTTTAAGTCTCTCTCTCCCATCTTATGTTTTTATGACAAGAGGCCTAGTGTGCATATGTTGATATTGAGCTAAATCTCTAACTGGAAGAAATACTAAAATATAAAAAAATAAGGTAACTTAGAATTATAATACATTTCACATAATTTCACTGACGCAGCACTGTGTAACTTACACCACCTGCTTGTCTCTAGATTTCCCTTGAATGTTCCACAGTATGAGATTAAATGCATCCTTTTTGCATTTATTCATTGATGGGTGTTTTTGTTGCTCAAAAGTACCTTGAAAACATTTTTTCCATTTTTACTATGAGCAGAGTCATTTCTTTACATGACTTGTCAATTGACTAGTGACCTCCCCCGCTTGTCTCCTTGGAGATGGATAAGTTTAAAATTTATTCTGGAACATTCCAGGCAAAGTGTTAACATGCCCATAGATATAAGCAGGTGGCACACCTTTCACCTAACAGGTTACATAGGGCACCTTTAATATATAATACAATAATAATAACACAAATTTCCTTAATTTATTGGGGTTTGACACTGGCAGAGTAGATTTACATATTTTTGACAACAACAGTACATATGACCCTAAACACCTAAAATCTTGGTTTCATGGGACAAAATGGAGTAGACAGATCACACTGAGTTCATAGACATTAGTTTGGAGAGACACTTGGCTCGTGACGACACTCAGTCCCAGCTGTGGGGTTACTGGTTGAAATCGCAGTGGGAAATCTAGCTGGGGCGACCTAATGTGCCATTGGTCACGAACACCATGTAGTGGAGGGGTCAGTGAGGAGTGGAAGGATACTGTCTCTCTCCTCTCACAATCTCCGCCTCTGCAAGTTTGTGTTAGCGGTCGATGAAGTGATGGCGTGTTTGTTATAAAAGACAAATGTGCATGTGCTGTTTGTTTGGACTAAAATGACGCGGGTGATAGTTTTGTGTGAGACCAACAGTGTGAGACCTGACATTTCCACTGGCTGTTGTTTATGTGAATGTAGGCTCAGGCATAAGAGTCAATGGACCTAACATAATTTGCTAAACAGATTCAATTCAATCAATTTCTTTCAGGTTTAATCTGGATCCAGAGAAGAGCTGTACTGATGATCGACTCTGGGAGGCTTTAGAAATTGCTCAGCTCAAAAATATGGTGAAAGCACTTCCCGGAGGACTAGGTATATATTAAAAAACAAAACAAAACAAAAAACATATTTTTTCCATCAAAGATGTATATTATAAACTGCACATTATTTAATAGCTCAGACAAGACAGTGTCCCTTATATTTATGATGTGAAGTCATGGCCATTATGTCCTTACATGCCTTTATTTTGCATGGACGTCCAGATGCTGTTGTCACTGAAGGTGGAGAGAACTTCAGCGTTGGCCAGAGACAGCTCTTCTGTCTGGCTCGAGCTTTTGTGAGAAAAAGCAGCGTCCTCATCATGGATGAAGCCACTGCCTCGATAGACATGGCCACGGTTTGTACTGTATATACAGTCAAGTCTACAAGTCTCTTTCTTTTACTGACACTTGTCATCATGGCTCTTTACAGGAGAATATACTTCAGAAAGTTGTTATGACTGCATTCGCCGACAGGACTGTTGTCACAATAGCTGTAAGTTGTAAATTGCTATGTTGGCTTTTCTATTTTCTAATTTTCCATCTGTTCTACATACATTTGATTCTCGGATACTGACAATCTAAAGTTTCTATTTCCCTTACTATACACCTTAAATTTTCTCTGCTTCTTTCTCTACTCTATCCCTGTGTCCTTGCCCTACCAGCACCGAGTGTCGTCCATCCTGGACGCGGAGCAGGTGTTGGTATTTTCCTCAGGAATTTTGGTGGAGTCTGACTCTGCTCCAAACCTATTGGCACAGGAGGAGAGCCTCTTCAGTGTGCTAGTGAGGACTCACAAGTAGCGCCAGTCCAATCTGGCCCAGCTCAGCTCACCACTACTTTACTTTGGCCAACATATCCATTTATCTGACATATTTACTTTGCATTATTTTATGATGAAGTCAGAGTTGCAGTTTGGGTCAGTGGACTCTTTTCTGCATATACCTGGTTGGTGCTAAATTCCTTACTTTTTCTCTCCTTTTCTCTGTTGCTATTCACATCTTTACCAAAATAATGAAACAAATATATACATTTTTTGTTGTGCATCTGAAGCATCGTGTCCATACCATCCTGACTGCCGACCTGGTTATTGTAATGAAGAGAGGGAACATTATGGAGTATGACAAACCTGAGACTCTGCTGGAGCAAGAAGATGGCATGTTTGCCTCCTTTGTACGGGCCGACATGTGAAGGCAACTGTGTCAAACAGCTGCCCTGGCAGTTACACAGGGGCTCTAATGTGTTTTTGGCCCTTATTAACAGTCTGAGTATCTTTGCGTAAAGGACTCTTGAACGAGACATACATATATGCACATAAGAATATAAGCCATTTACCCACACAGTGGGAACTGGTAGTTACTGCATTAATTGTTGGCACATCTGTGCTGTTCATAAACAAACAGAGAAAAGGAAACACTTAATGAACAGTAAGATCGCAATTGTTTTACTACTCATTGACACAATACAAGAATACTTTGTGTTCCAACTATTGTCCTAACCATTGGACCATCAGTTTAACACACAGCCACTTTGTTTTGGGTTTTCTGACTTCCTTGTGCAAACACTGAAGGGTTCTGGGCTATAAGTTCAGTCTCACTGCCTGTCTGCCTTCATGCAATGCTGAAGAACTTTTTCTGAGATAGTACACTGTTCTACGGTAGAATTGTCATCTAGTATTATATTTAGATACACTTAGATTTCTTCTTGAATAACTTTTAGATAAATATAATGCTTATAAAATTGTCATTTTATCTTGAAATGAAAATGTCCATTGTATCCATCCTAAACATTATGTTATGGTAAATGGTGCACAAACTGAATGCCAAATATATATTATTTACATACACATACACTATGATATAGCTTTATTTCATTTTAGTTATTTAGTTACTAATGCTTCTTTGTTATGTATATTATACTCGGACACTGACTTTTATTTATACAATTTTTACACTCATTGTTTTTGTGACCTTTGACCCATTGTCACATGAAAATGTATGCCTTATACTTTTTGTAACTTCTATGGCTATTTATTATACAATGGGATCAGCTGTTGATCTGTCACATTTTTGTTTTCGTCATAGTAGCTTACTCAACTTTCCCCACCACTGCAAAAAAAAAAAAAAAAAAAAAAAGTGAACTCACATATTGCTTTCAAACAAAAGTAGTAAAATATACATTATGCAATTGGCTATTTAAAAATGATGAAATGTATGTGCCTGTTTTTTACATTTGAAAAATTAAAAGTTTGCCAGTTTTGGACTTAAGTGTGATTCATTTCACTTGCTGCAGAAATGCTTCCATAGCACCACCTACTGGTTGTTAGATAATTCTAGTGCGCATTGTACAGCATTGAACACGATTTTTGTTTTGCTTAAAAATAAATAGGCTTACCTAATAATGCCTCACGAGAGAAATGTTTATAAAATCAATTGTATTTGTTTCTAACTTAACCTTTGTTCATTGCTTTTTCATTCATGTAGTTTAGGTTTTCAGACCCGAAACAACGTTAAGGACTGTCTCCTTAACTTTGTTTCACGTATCAAAACAACGGCTCCAAGAAGCTGTGGCCCCTGGCAGCGGCGCTACGTCAGTGGGAGAGAGCGGAGCGTCCCAGCCCTCAGAAAGAACACCACAAGCGCCACAAGTTCACAGTGGACAAGCAGCCGGGATACTTAATGGGACAATTCCGCAGACGTGCGTAAAGACGCACAGTAACTTATTTTATATACCCTACTTAAGTTTAAGATGCTTGCGAGAAAAAGCATTATCCCGGAGGAATTCGGGCTACCGGGGCTTGTTTCCCGTATGCCACGAAAACCAGTGTTCAGAGACCGCGTCAATAAGGCGCGCTTTATTGCAAAGAATGGCTCCTGCAACTTGGCACACAAGAACATTCGCGAACAGGGCAGATTTTTACAAGATGTGTTTACTACGCTGGTGGACCTCAAGTGGCGATTCACGCTGGTTATCTTCACCACCACCTTTGTGAGCAGCTGGCTACTGTTTGCCATGAGCTGGTGGCTCGTAGCGTTCGCGCACGGAGACCTGGACCCAATGAGGCCAAGCGGATCTTACTGCGTCACGGACGTCAAGTAAGTTGTTAGTGACTTTGTATTGAGAGAAGGCTAGCTGGAATCGATAATGGCATTGTAGCACTTTCGATAAAAGCTTTTAAAATGGGCTAGATAAGTCTGCAACTCTAAGACTCTGCGGCCTTCCCAAACGTATCTTAAAAGTTGCATATTGAATTAACAGGTTCAACCGAGTTCACAAAGTGAAAATAAAAGACTCAGAACATTTAGGTTTGATTTTTGATGGTGGAACACTGACCTTGATTCCTTTACAGTTCAACCAATTTCAGTTATTTAATTATATTTAACAGATTTTAATAAGCACAGCCTAGACTACAGAATTATGGATCTTGTGATTTGTGTCCTTTCTGTGCAGGTCGTTTACGTCTGCCTTCCTGTTCTCCATAGAAGTGCAAGTGACCATCGGGTTTGGGGGACGCATGATCACAGAACAATGCCCCGCTGCCATTACTGTGCTCATAATGCAGAATATAGTGGGTCTCATCATCAGCGCTGTCATGTTGGGTAAGACTACAGGGCTACGTAATAAAACATCGCTAGAGGGAGGTCGCACAAAGCTTGTAAGAAACAAGGCCTAATAGAATTTTTAGCACTAATTTGACATTGCATGACCTGCAGCCCTTTAGCCTATAGGCTATATCGCTCTCATCCCAATACGATATTGCAATTTTGTATTCAATTTAATACATTTTAGATTTGATTGAATGAATGAAAGCAATAACCATCCTTTCCATTTCCAGGTTGTATTTTCATGAAAACGGCTCAGTCAAACCGGAGAGCAGAGACTTTGATTTTTAGTCGTCATGCTGTTATAGCTGTTAGAAACAACCGCCTCTGCTTCATGATCCGCATTGGAGACCTCAGGAAGAGTATGATTATTGGAGCCACCATCAGATTGCAGGTTATTCTTTATTTTACTACTTAACTGTAGTAGCCTATTTTCTACCATCCCTGTGCACTCTTGTGCAGGTGGTGAGAAAGACCACAACTCCAGAAGGTGAGGTGATCCCCATTCATCAGATTGATGTCCAAACAGAGAGTGCTGTGGCCAGCAATAACCTCTTTCTGCTTGCCCCACTCATCATTTGCCATGTTATTGACAAAAACAGGTAGATATTTTTCTTAATCATTACCTATTTTTAATCTTATGGAGCTTGATCTGGCCCACAATAACACTGGACTCTGAGCTTAATATGAAAGTACTTGTTTTTAGCCCCATGTATGACTTGTCAGCCATGGAGCTGCAGTGCAGTGATCTGGAGGTCATTGCCATCTTAGAGGGAGTGGTGGAGACCACAGGCATCACCACACAGGCACGCACCTCCTATGTGTCTGAGGAGATCCAGTGGGGTCACCGATTTGTCCCCATAGTAACAGAAGAGGAAGGGGTGTACTCTGTGGACTACTCAAAATTTGGAAATACAGTTAAGGTAAAACAATGGAAAATCATAATTTTTCATTATGTATATTAAAAAAGAAAAAAAGCAAAAAAAAAACTTTTTTGTTCTAGGTTGCAACTCCTCTCTGTAGTGCTCGAGAACTGGATGAGAAACCTTCCATTCTTATCCAGACTCTTCAGAAAAGTGAGTTGTCTCACCAGAACTCACTGCGCAAACGCAACTCAATGAGACGCAATAATTCCATGCGTAAAGTCACCAGCAGTGGTAGTCTACGCAGAAACAATTCAGGGCTGAACCCTAAAGTTCAGTTTTTTACTCCAGTGGAGGGAGGGCAAAGCCTGAACGCAGTCACCTGACATGAAGCCTGTGTCCTGCTGGCCGCTATGGTCCTCTGTCTCACTCAAAGGATTCTGAGCTTTGGTGTCTCACCTGCCATGACAGGACTAATTGTATCAATGTCTCACGAAATATTAAAACTGAAAATGTTTACATAGTACTGATTCACCCCCCCTTGTTGTAACAATAAATGGGAGCATCATTGACATTGTTATATATATATATATTTTTTTCTTTCAGAATGGTTACTCATATCTTCTAATGAGCCTATTTCATGATCAATAAGCATCATCAAGCTGATGAGATAACATAAAATAAACTTGTCCCACAACGGAGAAATTCAGGGTTGCAACGTGCTGTTGAATAGCAAGCTCTCTAAGAGCCTAAATATTAGATAACAGATACTCTTAAAGTGTAATAAAATGCGATATAAGGCTACCTTATGTATAATGTGAACAAATGAACAATGTATGCATTAAAATACGAGTTTATCAGTATATATAAAAAAATAGAATTAAGTTTTGCCCACAACTTGTGACGTATTGCTGACGTTTACGGAAGTCGTTCAGCATTCGCAGCGGTGGTTTTACGGTGGACGTGTGTGGCGCATGCCCTTTGCTCTATGGATACGTGTGTTAATAAGTGAAGAACAGAACTCTGCAAAATGGCTAGAAACCTAATGATGAGCTTTGTTGGTCTGCGTAAACTTCAGAGGAGCCTTGTATGGAAAGAGTCTCGTCTTTATTGCCACACTGGAGTCGACCCAATTACACTGAGTCAACACAACGGAATCAGGTGAGCTTTGGGGGGCTTCTGTAAACGCAAACGCACTGCTGAACAAAAAGGTAGCCTATTTGAAATGCACATCCAGTGAGTACTATTCCACCGAGAAAATTTTACCAGGTTTACTTACTCATCATTCTTATTCTTCATTCGTATGTATTATTATTATTTTTTTTAGAAGAATTACATTGAATAATCCTAAAAAGAGGAATGCCCTTTCCCTGTTCATGTTGGAATCACTTCGTAAGAGCATCCTCAGTGAAACCGGTAGTGAAGATCTTCGAGTCATTGTATTATCAGGTAGATCTGCACCCTGTACAAATTAGGCAATAATAAAAAGAAAGTATACTTGACTTTGTTTGTACATCAGCCAACGGACCCGTATTTTCCTCGGGTCATGACTTAAAGGAACTGACATCCGCTCAGGGAAGAGGGCATCATACAAAAGTATTCAACACCTGTTCAGAGGTACGTCCTGATAAAAGTCACATCAGTACTGATGCTCAAAGTGGTGAAAATGAGCATAACAAAACAAATATAACTGTTTAATCTTTAGGTAATGAGCCTTATTCAAGATATACCAGTCCCTGTTATTGCCATGGTGAATGGTGTGGCCACAGCAGCAGGCTGCCAGCTTGTTGCCAGCTGTGATATTGTAATAGCTTCAGAGAAATCCACTTTTGCTACTCCAGGTGTTAATGTGGGTTTATTCTGCTCTACACCAGCCGTAGCTATTGGAAGATCTATGCCCAGAAAGGTAACATTTGCATTATTCATTGGAGGACTCTGAGAAGCATATACTGTATTTTTGTGTAAACTATTGTGAAAGACTTACAATATCCATTTCAGGTTGCACTGGAGATGTTGTTTACAGGAACTCCCATCTCGGCCCATGATGCTTTGCTGCATGGTCTGGTGAGTAAGGTTGTACCAGAAGATCGAGTGGAGGAAGAGACTCTGGCCATTGCCCACCGCATATGTCAGGCGAGTCAACCTGTTGTGGCTCTTGGCAAAGCTACTTTTTACAGGTAAAGAGGAGTTTTCAAGCAATATCATTGATACTCAAAATTACTATGTTGACTAAAGCCCGACCGATATATCGGCTGGCCGATATGGGCACCTGGAGACATATTGGCTATCGGCCGATATGCTTGCTGATATGGGCCGATATTTCACGTGGGCATGTTATACCTCGTTATAAAGCTTAGACTCTCTACATTCTGTTCATTTAATCCAATTTACAGACAGATAAATGTCCTGATATGTGGCTCCGCATCAGTATTTATCTGCGGAGTCATTTGTCTGTGTCAGTACTGTCCCTGAACACACCACTCACGTGCTATTGTTTACACCCGCAGTTGTGCGCAACACTGAGATTATATTCTTTTTACAAACAATCGGTTTGAGTCTGGATTAAAAGGACATTTATTAGTTCAGACTTGTGATGTGAGGAGGAGCCTGTGTGAGCAGTGAGTGTTGGAAATACATTGACTTTGAAGCTAGTTTTGGCTATTTGTTATTAGCGATTAGCTGCTGTAGCTCCCGCACATAAACAGGCTGTTTTCTATTGGCCTATTGTAAAGTGATTATATTGGCCGTATTTTTGTTACTGGACCTGCACTTGATATGTAAATGAGCTGTGAATAGACATGTGAATGATCAACATTTATGCATATAATTAATTACCGCGGCACGCACGTTTTTACGGCTAAAGGCTAATAACGGTAGTTTCTACTAGCTAGGAGTTATGGGTCGGTCACGATCGAAGCGGCTCTTAGAGCCGGCATGCTTCTTATTGGGAGCCGTGTTTTCTCTTTTTCTCACGTTTTCTCTTCAAGCCGCTTGTAGACCCGTAGTTTCACAGCAGCAGCGGCTGAAAACGAAACTTTCAGAAATCTGCGTGTGCATAGGATAAAAAAAAAAAAGTGTATATTCGGCTGCAGTTCAGCATAAAATGAATAAACCAGGATTAATCTTGGGCTCGAGTGTGGGAGGGACCGAGTCCCGACACTCAGTCCTGGTTCAGTTCTGGTTTAGTCCTGTTTTACACATGGTTTAAATCTGTTTTAGTCCTGGTTCAGTTTTGGTTTAGTCCTGCTTGCAACAAAACAATCTCAAGAGTCGCTTGGGAGCAGAAAGAGCCAGCTGCTTTAGTGAGCTGAGCCAAAAGAGTCAGTTATCCAAAAAAAAAACAAAAACTGGAATACCCATCACTAGTGTCTAGAATGTGATGCAAAAATGCCATTAGGCCAATCTACTGTCTGTAAATATGACGTAAAGAGTCAGAATAACAATAAATGTTGCCTAAATAAACCCAATTTAGAATCCACTAGAGCCAAACCTAAGTTTTTTAAACAATTCAAGATTTACAGTGAATTTTTACATCACTAAATATATCAGCTATCGGCAGCTCCAACACCCATTATATTGGGTTCATATCGGCCACAACAAAATCCATATCGGTCGGGCTCTAATTTTGACTATAATCCATAATAGAAGACACACTATAAATATACTTAATATAAACAGCATAGATTATGAAAGATACCATATACAGACATTGTGTTCACTTCCAGTGACATTTCTTCATCTGTTTCTCTTAAAGACAAATGGCACAAGGTCGAGACGCTGCGTATGCTATTGCTTCTAAAGTGATGGTTGATAATCTGGCTCTCAGAGATGGACAAGAAGGAATCAGGGCTTTCATAGAAAAACGTAAACCTGTTTGGAGTCATAAAGCAGAGAAAGCTCACGACTGAGGGACTGCAACTCTGCACAATTCTGCTTTGTCAGTGTGTATAGCCAAGACATGAAATAATAATTAAAATGATAAAATCATAGATACAAGTGAGGTTCTAATGTTTTGCTATGTAATAGTATTATTATAGTAGTATAAAACAAAATGATATATTTTACATATATATTTCTAATAGACTTAAATAAAGTTGTAAGTATCTTGGTACCTTAACGTAAGTAATGCAGAGAAAATTATATGGCACAGAGCAGTAATAAGGAATAATGTTGCTTTTCAGAAATTAATCTGAATGGTCTGTTAGCTAAATAAAATATAATGTTGAATGTGACAGATTGTGAACAGAAGCATTTAAGAATAATTCATGAAATTAGGTTTTGTATAAAAATCTAATTAGTAGAATCAATTGAAATCTGTATCCAATAAAAAAATACACTGGCCTTGGGCATAAATATGATTATAAATATCCAGTCTCTTTTGCCATAATATATGAACGCATGTATACATTGTCTTAACATGAAAAAACAAAAGTTAATTTTGAAATGGAAAAGAAAATTGCATTCTATTGTTAGACAACATATTTTTCTCTTTGAAAAATAACAATAAATCTCTAGAATGTACATATATCTGAAGTAACATAAAAAAATAAAAACATAAACCGGGGATCGGCTCTTCCCTTTCTATAGTTAAACATTACATCAAAACCCACTGTACAGGCTCTAAAAAGATATACACAGCCATCTGTTATTTTACATCCAAAAATAAAAGGAAATATTCAGTCAGTTTATTCTCCTTAAACTGATCAGTAGAAATATTGTTGGCTGGTGTGTCCTGTCAGTATTTTACATGTTTATGTCTGAAAATACAAAGCAGAAACAAAACCATACCCTTATCAAGCAAGCATAAACACTTAACCTAACCACAGTGTTACTGACTATCCCATACTCTACAGTGTTAGTCATTTTGTCTCTGTCACAGAAGCATGGAGTCCTGCATGGCAAATGCCTCATGTGCATTTCTGTAATGTGGTCCTACAAACAGCTGGGGGTGCTGTTGCCTTATCACAGGCTGCTGCTCCTCAAACCGTGTTCCTAAAGTGATGGAGGTTGTTGGCAGGAAAGGTAAACTCCTGCACAGGAAACATTTGAGCTTTCTGAAAGCTCGGTGAGCGCGGCATCCCACCCGGAGATGGTGGGTGGAGGTCACTATCGCCCCATGTAGATTCATCCACACCTCCCCTGTGTCTGTCATCTCGAGAATAGTGCAAGCTGGGCTCCATTCTGCGCTGTCCCACTCCTGTGTAGCCCTGTGCAGTGGAGGTGAGCTGCTGTAGGTAAATGGGAGCAGAGGTCCCTGAGGTCTCCAGCTGCAGGGTGTACTCCTGCGGAGGCTGAGTGGTGCGGGGGAGGTGGCTGGAGCTGGATGGAGGCAGTCTGCGGTATGTGGCAAAAGAGTTGTTCATGAACAACTTTTCTGGGGAAACACTGTTTGCATGCCTCTGTGTAGTGGCGTATGCTCGCTCCCCATACATCTTAGTGGGAGAGGGGGTATATCGAGAGGTCACCGCATAGCGTGGGTCCTCCCCTCTGTGATCCAGATTCACATTGTGGGCTGGGTGAAAGATGGGGACTTCAGTAGTGGTTCTACCCTGTGGCTGCTGGTGCGGAGACATGATAATGTGGCCAAAGGGGTAACTGCTCTGGGTCCCTGCCGAAGAGCCGTGAGAAAACTGATGAGAAAATGGGTGCTTCGCCCCTCTGGGTCCTGAGGCTACAGAGACAATACTTTCAGCCAAACTAGGTCCACGAAGCGGACTGCCATGAGGACCAGATGAAGCACTAAAAGGAGTCTCAGCGCGAATATTTCTAATTCTTGATGGAGGCCTCTCTAGCTCCAGGATTTCAAAGTCCTGGTCAGGTAATCCAGGTACGTTGTCATATTGTGAGGCATTTGAGCCCCTATTAGAGCCAGGCATGAAGCCTTTAGAGCGTGGTCGTCTGTGGGCCAGTGCAGTGTCATCTGGACTGGAAGGAGCAGGAGAGCTCCCTCTGCTCTGTCTCTCCCGTGCGGCTGCAGCTTTAGCAGCCTCTAGCTTAGTCTCTGAAGGTTTGAACCAGCGGGGACCTATGTCTCGACGAGTACTGGGTACTGCATTTGAGTTGCGGTTAGCTGTGGCATTGCTTTTCCCTTCTGCAGTGACAGTGGCTTGTGGCACTGGATTCTGGGGTAGTGGAGTGGGAGCAGGGGGTGGCGTTGGCTCCCTCTGAGGTGGGGAAGCCCACTCACTGGGAACCTCCCCAGATGCCCTGGAGATGGCATCTTTTCGGTCAGCCTTGTTATGGCGAACGGGCTTATCCAGTGAGTCTCTGCGGACGCGGCTTGGAGGCCGACTTTCCACCTGACGCTCTGGTACAGGACTAGGCTCCCGTTCAAGCTCAACGGGTTCAGCGTGGCTCTGCCCATTCACAAAATGGTTCACCACTGACTCCGAACTCAGAGGTGGAAGCTGACCAAGAGGTTTTTTAGGAAACTCTTCATCTTTACCTGAAAAACAAAGACACCTTTGTTAACACACACAGATACTACTTTAAGATTAATTGGCTATAAACACTGGTGTTGACTGACATCAGATGAAGAAACTCACAACAAGGACATGAGCCATGCAACACCACGGCCATAGAGACTTTGATTTATAATATTATAATAAGGACAATATCACTGATAAATCCCAAAAGAGAAGGAGAGCAGCAACTGAGACTGATTTTAGTTATGTATTGCAGAAGGCAGTTTCAGATAAAGATGATTAATTAATCTGTTTTTCATGAAAAGGATACTAATGATAAATACAGAGGTAGTGAAATTCCCTTAAGCCTCTAAAAAGTGTGCACCTTAAATAAGTCAATGTGTATCTGTCATTATTAATAGAACAACTCCAATACTCCAAATAAAAATAAGCAATGTATAAAATGTTTTGAAGAGAAAAAGGAAAAGTCCTTTGTGACAGAAAAACCCATGTGTTAAGGACAGACATGTGAAAGACAGACAAAGGTCATGGCCGAGTGTGGGACAGATGCACAGACACAGAGGGGAGATCAGTCAGGATAGCCCACCAGTTACTGTTGTAGGAGGGTATGTGGCCCCCACTCACAGCCACACTTTTCATGTTGTTGGCTAACAATGTATGAAAGAAGAGAGAGAAAAGGCAGATTATTGAGACAGAGCAGGAGCGATAAGAAGTGCCACAGGTTACAGACAAAACTAAGCCAGGTCAGCGGTCTACCTAGATACAGGTGAACAAAAATCTGGTTTCTAACAAAGCCATGGTGAGGTTAAAGCAGCCATATTCCTTCAGCATTTGTCATTATTGTAAGATCTGCATAATAGTTGAAGGGATTTTTATTAATTGGGTTTTATTACATTTGGTACAATGCACACAATGGCGTATATCACACTGTGATTAACATTCAACAATGCTCCTCTAGGTTTAACATGATTCTGTGGGTTTGGTTCAGAGCATTACCTGGAGCCGGTAGTTCCAGCTTTGCCCTCCTGAGCTCACTCATGGACATCTGCAGCTGCTCAATTACAACGTCATCCTCGTAGTAGAAGTTTTTGGACAAAGAGACCTGGAGAAACTCCACCAGCTCTTCCATGGACAACTTCATTAAGTGCTCTAAAGACACAAAAAGAGCTGTTAAGAGTTTGGCTCTTTTTGGAAAATGCAACTTAAATGCTTTATTACATCATAAATGGGTAAACATTAACAGTAGTTAAATATGAATATCTTACTTTTGTGGAGTTTGAGCACAGTGTAGGACATGGCAGGCAGCACTCTCTCACCCTCCAAAATGTAGATATCCCAGATCCTAAGTGTAAGCGTGAAAGGAGTCTGGACACAATGAGGACATAGATATTAATGTTGTGTTAGCAGCCAACATTATTGAAACACCTGAAATGTGTATTTTAAACTGCATGTATTTTTGGAGGGCTAACATACTCTATCCAGGAAGCACTGGAAAAACCACTTCATGGTGTAGAGGCTGGTGTAAACTTCTTGAGCATCCTGTCAGAGCATATAACAAACCATAAATATCTTTCTGTGGGTTTATAAGATTACTACAGTCATATTTTCTTACCAAGTGCTGCTTGAGCTTCGGCATCATTTTCTTCAGGATGCGGTCATGATGTTCTTGGAAACGCATCAACTTTGGAAAGCCAGGGACGAAAAAACCTAAAAAGGTGTGGTCAATAAGAGGAGTATTATTATGATGATGATGATGTTTGTACATTAAAATGTATAATATAAAACATATACCATGCATGGCATGTTTCTGGCCTGATAAGAGTCTGACCAGGGCCCAGAAAGCATCCTCCTCATTCATGTAGATGAGCAGCAGAGCAGTGATCTGACTCATGCCCTGACAGTAGCCCACTTCCTGCACGAGAAACAAACTTCATTTTGACAGAAGAATGACGGGTGGTGTATCAAGCTTTAAACTGGTGACCATAAGACATGGTCACCTGGTAAAGAAGGTTCATTTAATCATTGTCAGCTCCTTATCCAGTGCTAGATCATGAGAAGTTTCAAAACTGCTCACAGCTCCCAAAAAATGTATTTAGGAGCAACTTACCGTGTTATATATCGAGTATGCTGTTAGGACATGGAAGAGAGCTTGCTGCCTATAAAGCAAAAGAATGTTATTTATGAACTAAAAAAAAACTAAAAACCCCACCTTACTTTATTATCATTATAAACAGTATACATGCCTCAGTTACTTATACAGTATATACAAAATAAATAAAATGCATCACACATTTAACATATGCATTCAACTTGAGTAGACAATCATTTCCTGCACCTATTTGGAGTAATGTTGTTTTTGCACTCACTTGACATCATAGCGGTGCATGAACATGATGTGATCTCTGTAAGTGCGGTTGACATCCAGATCTATCTGACGGATATCAGGCGACAGTCCCCTAGCTCTGGCCTTCAGCTTCTGCAGACAACCAACACTCTCCATTCAAAGTGTTGTAATGTGGATTACTACAATCAATATTAATTACAGCAACTTTCTTTTAAAAAGTTATAGCTCAGGAAGAACACATGAACATTACAGCATACCTTTCTAAAATATGTCTTTAGACTTAAGTTTAATCCTATTGAAAATATATTATTGTACCTCATAAAAGTCTTTCTTCTCTTCTTTTATTTTGGGTACATCAAGCAGCAGACACCAGACCTCGCCTCTGAGCTGTAAAGGGATCCCTTTGTAAATCCTCCTGACCAGCTGAAAGCACAAACAGTAGCATATTAGTCCAGAGGTACTGTTCAATATACAATACACCGTGAGAGCAGCAGTAAAGGGCCCTGGAAGGAGAACTACTCCCATCTAGAACTATGAGAAAAGAGACTGACAGATAAACTGCTCCAGTTATTCAGATGGTTGTCTCCATGCAGATGTTAGTGCTTTGCCTTGACAGTTCCACAGTAAGGCACAAACTTGGCAGGCCAAGTTACAGGTCAAATCTGTGGAGAGGTGACCCTGCTCACATTAAGAATGCATGCATGGATTTCAAAGATGTTTTGAGCAAGAAAGCAAAAAAATGCAATTAAGAAGGCTTTACTAGACAAGACAGCTATGGTATGGAATGTATGGAATAAGTATGGAATGGGGAGAGAGACATTGGAGACATTTGGTAAATGGTTGTGGCCCATGAGTCAAACCTATGATCACATATGTGTAGACCCTTAAACCATTACACTGCTGACAAGCACCAAAACAGCAGACTGTAATGCTGACAGATCCCCACTGAGAGTAAAGGGGCAGCAGAGGATCACACATGCACAGCATGGATGTGTAGCACACACCCGAGCCTGGCCCAGCTAAAAACACAGCGGGGAAATTTGGCCTGGTCCCATCCCAATTTAAGCCCCATGGAGACAACCAATGGTGGTTTATTTAATTAAATTAAATAAAATTTAATGGAAAAGTACAGTCATGTGTGTAGTCACCTTTTCACTGTTCTTGTATTTATCCCAGCTCTTCAGCATCTTCAGCCATTTGGTGGTCCTCTCCACTTCAGTGTGCTTTTGCTGCAAACACAAGAGTTAGATGGTTAAATGGCAAGTTAAATGGTCATCACATAACGGTAATAAACAGAATGAAACAAAATTAAAATTCCCTTCACCTTCTCCTCCACTGAGTCGTAGGATGGAAGTTCATTTTCACTAAAAAGATGAAAGAAAAAATAGTTATGATAGATAAATAAATGCACATGAAATATTTTGACATAACTTTGAATTTCTGTAAAAGGCAAGTCAATAGCATTATATTTGCCTTGATAAAGACAATTTCACTGCATGTTTGTGTGTGCATTTTAAGACCTACATGAGCTCATAAAATGACAAGATACTTTCAGATTAGGCATTTTATTGTGTTAGTACAATGCCCCCCTTATATCTTGCAATTTAAACAGCATACTTTGAATACAGTTACAACACTTGCTATGGTAAAAGTAAACAGGACATTATATAAGCTGCATAACCCTGTATGTTCACTCAGTCTACATGCCCACTCACAGGTACACCTCAGGCCCTGTGTGTTCTTATATGCCCTCCATCAGAAGTGCCATACACGTCACTTGTACATTTCCTTTCAGTCCCTGAGGCTTGACTGTAGCACTGTGTCCACGACTGTAACACTGTTATTGTGGCTGACCACCCAGTTTCCTGCCAGTGTGTGCCAGCCATAAATCCAGCACACATCACAGGGTGCTTTAAGAGCCTCACAGCTCCTCTAGTCGCTGAGCCAAAGCCAACAGCCCTCAGCAACACTTGTATTTACAACCTCTCATTTTCTCCCTTTGGTGCGGCTCTTTTGTCCAAACAGACTTTAAAAAGAGCTATAATAACAGTAGGCTGTGCTTGGGGCAGTATAAGCTTACTGAACGAAGCCGAATCGATCAATGACTTTGTACAGGTGGAAGTTGGTGTCCTCCCAGGGCTCCACAGTTGCCTCTTTTCCCTAAAACATAAAATTAGGAAAATTTCAAACCATGTCAGTGATTAATCTTAACGCACTGAATGTCAAAATATTACTCATTCCATTTTAATGTAAATTCTCAAAATGGATTAAAGGGACAGTTCAGAATTTTGGACATAGCACCTCATTTCCTAGTGAGCCAGAGTGTTGGAGACGTGTGGAAACACTTTTGAAAATATTCCACCCAGTCCTTGTATTTACAGAGGTCACTGGTGCTAGGCTAGCACATGTCAATCGCCATAGTTAGCCTACCACTAAAAAGTCTTACTCACTCCACAAAGCACCCAAAGCAAATCTATTATTACGCCAAACTATCGATGCAAATGTCTGTGTTGATAGAATAATAGAATAATGTTTGAAATAAAACTAACCTTGCATCGCATGAATTGTCACATGTTGAGGGACTATTTTCTCAGCAGAAGCGGAATTTTACTTTGCCCTTAAGGTAGGTGCTAGGTGATATCAGTTCGCTGCTGCCAAGCTTCTACCAGGAAGTGCAACTCGCTGCTGCTCAGACATAAATCCTTCAAATACAAGGTTGGTTTTACTTCTAAAATTATTCTATCGACACAGACATTTACATTGACAGTCTGGCTTAATAACAGATTTGCTTCGGGTTCTTTGTGGAGTGGGTAAAACTGTTTTTAGTGGCAGGATAACTATGGCCATTGACATGTGCTAGCCTAGCACCAGCGACCTCTGCAAATACAAGGACTGGATGGAATATTTACCATTTAATGCTTACACTAGGTACAGATGACATAACAGTATTTGTCCAAATTTGTACAGTATTCATGGGTTTCAGTTTCTTGTTTTTCGGTGATATTTTGAAAACATTAGTAAGTAAGTAAGTATTTATATAGTGCTTTTCACAGACAATTTTTTTTGTCACAAAGACACTTTACAGAGCATTACATTCAGCATTATTCTTTCACTCTATACCAGGTGATGGTAAGCCACTGTTATAGCCACAGCTGCCCTGAGGCAGACTGGCAGAAGCGCGGCTACCATGCCAATCGGCGCCAACGGTCCCTCCGACCACCACCATCACTCGCGCACACACCACTTTCATACTAGGCAATGAGGGTGAAGTGTCTAGCCACTAGCACCAGTGCTAAACTTGGTACATTCAAAAAATATAATTTTGTTTTGAATTGTTGCTAAGGCAATGGTGCAAATTTTTCTCAGAACACCCTGTATAGGATGTGTGTGAAAAAGGACAAACATTAATTGTAATTTTTACAAGTTTAGTGACATATTGGAAATAATAAATTTAAATTTTAATCCCGATTCAGTTTTAGATGAAATTGTTGCATTAGCTTGGTTTGCTGTATACTATATGGATAAAAATCTAAACAACATCAGAGGATGTTTCAACAATATTAATTAGTAAAGATTAATTTGTTGCGGCATTCTTGTATCTGTATATAAGATTCTAAAAAAATAATCAAATATCAATATCAATTTCAGTGACAGTGACATGCTCTGCATACTCCAGTCATTTAGATAATCTGCAATGAAAACACCATAGCCTTCTACTGATGAAAAACAGCATGCATAACCAGTTTAAATAAAACTGTTTTTAAAACTGAAATGCAGTTTGATTGGCTGCTTAATTTACATGAGAAGCACAACCCTGTTGCCCTTGGTTGAGTGTGTAGTTGTGACTTTTGTAGTTGTGTGTTTGGGCAGCACCAACTGTGTGATAGAGAGAGTGAGCAGCTGTTAAGAGGTGTGAAATGAACAGGCAGACGCCCACCTGCGTCAGCGTCTCACTGCAGGCTCCTCACTGAACATGCTCTGTATTTACTGACGCTGACGCTGACACTGACTGCTTGTGTGGATGTGCTGGGAGATGTGTGAAACATAACATTGCAGAGAAGAGTTATCAATAATCTTTTTAAAAAGTAGTAAATTCTAAAGATTTACTTTACTACATGAGAAGAGAGTGTAAAAGACCCACATTTCAATATTTTTTGTCATTAAATAGTTGGTACAATTATATCCAACCCTTAAGGTGGAGCAGATGTTGAGGGATAAATTTATTGAATTTAATTATGCATAGATTATTTGATAGTGACAAACACAGCAAACATGGATTAGTATGTAGTAATCTGATGCGGGTATCACAGTATTTATAACCAAGAAAACGAACTGCTCTGAGCTGCCCTCTCAGCAGTTAAAATAACAGAACACAAAAGAATCAAAGCCTCTCTCTGTTGTGGCTAACCTACAGCGTCCACATGTGTGTCCATTTATCCGCTCTGTCTTTACTGACTTTAAATCAATTTCAGGCTAAAGCGAGTGAGGGCAACTGGGACTGCTCACCACTCACACTGGCAGGTCTTCGATGAAAGCGTAAAATCAAATATGTGCACTTGTTTAAAAAAGGGAGGTTATCTGAGGTGCTGAGAAGCATTCCTGGCTCATCACCTGTACCATGTGCTGAATTTGGCTTTCAGGAAGAGGAAACAGCTGTGCCACAGGTGAAAATGTTTCTTTGATTTTATAGAGGATGACATCAAAGCAGTGATGATGGGTTAGGAAAGGTTTTATCACAATATCTTTGGACCAGTAGAGATGCAGACACACATTTTTAACATACCTGATGAGTGGACAGTCAAGCTTTTTTTGTAATGCATTTAGTGTTCAAATAATAAAGCATTTACACTTCCTACCTGTCCCCTAACCATTGCTACCAAATGCATATTTGAATGCATTTATATCATGTTTTACTTGTATGAATTGGTGATAACACTTAACTTTAACATGAAAAAAATAGACAGTCTCAACAACCTGCTGAAGGAAGTTTAATGTAGCAGTGTGAGATTCTGAACTTGATTTTTAAACTCAAACTGGAGCTGGTGACATCCTGACACAGCCGTTTGATGCTGTTCTCTGTCCATCACCTTCGCACTCTGGTGCTTTGGAGAGTCTCTCAGAAGATTACTGCTCACAGCAGCACCCACACCTCCATCCTCTCTTGTCTATGCTCTCTTCACTCCTAATGAGGCACACTAATTATGCAGCGGCCAGACCAAATGAGAAAGACTCATTTACAAAAGCAGCATGATGGCTTAGACTGCCTGCTGTACTTCATACGTCTACAGAGTTAAAAAACAAAACAAAAAACATTAAAAATAAAGTAGAATGTCTGACATTAGTAACAGTCAACAAGTTTATACATATAACAACATTCCCACTGGCTACCAGACCTGGAGATGTTTGAATGAGGTTTTACATTATAGCCACATTAGTATAGAAATTTATCAGGGCATATTGTTATTAGTTTACAGTTAATGACTTTTGGGGGAAAAAAAGATAAAATAAGACAATATAAAACAGGATTAGTAACAATATTCCAAATAATAATTTGCAAATAACTTCCCGAACTAAATCATCATACTGTGATACTAGAGGATCTCATTACATTCAGATGGCTAACACTTTAACCTTGTGCAGTTATTGGGTTATTGGTATTGAGCAGTGTTTTGGTTCAGTGAACTTGGAATAGGTGCAGTGAAAACCTTTTATAATCAATGAAGATAATATTTAGAAAGAGTAATGATGGAAACATCTTCTTTGTCTATAATTATATTGCTTCATATGCATTCATTTTCAACAAAAAAGTGGTACTACACAAAAAGCTTGATAAATTTGATTCACCTTGTCATATTTGGCTACTATCTCGGCCCGCTCCTGGTCCAGTTTCACCGCTGCATCCTGCTCAGTGTCAGACGCTGTAGAGAAAACAAAAACAACAGGTAAGTATTACCATGGTACCAGAAGTGAATTATTTAACAATACAAACTCTCTCCCAAGCAATAGGAATAGGAAAGTGGGCAGGGCCAGTGTGTGTGTGTGTGTGTGCATAACAAACATGAACATAGCTTGTTGTCACTCCTTATTAAAGTTGTGATAACAAAAACAAACAAAACATGGTATAGTTAAAAATGTGGAAATGTTTTATTTGGATGAACAATGATAGCCATATACACAAGGATACTACTGGCTGGAACCTCTGCACAAAGCTGACAATGAAGGGCCGGCCAGTGAGGAGCCTCTCAGACTGATCACACAACTTCTGTTAACTTCTGTTGCCCATCACACAACCATGGCACAAGGTTTCGGTGGTCTCTGCTGAACTCACAATCCTTGTTCTAATAACTCTAAAGACCATATATAGAAGGTTAATGATACATCATTAGTTCCTCTCATTGTAAAAGGTCACATGCACACTTCCGTATTCAGCAATGACAGATTGGCCACAAATTGTACTAAAAAGTGAGTGTATACATTGTGTAAATTGTCTTCAGAACCTCCCTAGCTATTATGTAATCACTTTATTTGCCTGGTATTCTAGTCAGGATTGCATTCCCCTGTTTATTTTGCAGCTTCCTCCATGGGTCACTAGGGTCCGAAAGGGGGCAGAGCTCCACTGGAATTTTTAACGGTCCCAAACAAACAGTCTCTTATTGAGCAGGCTGGCATTTTTATGACAGAAGGGTGTGTGTCAGGGAAAGGCATGTGGCGGTGGGCAAAGGAGCAAACAGGGGGAATTATCTAAGGACAAAAACACTTTGGACCCTTTCTGGGAAACTCACTCTGGGGGACCCTCATCTAGTTCACACAGTAAAAGCTAGAGGAATAGTGGAAGCAGATATCAGAGCTTTTCATTAAACTTAAAGTGGTCTAATGCTAAAGTCTTTACTCACTATTAGTATTCCATTGCTGCTAGACTTGTAATAAATGCACTTATGTAGTTACATCCTTTTTATCCTTACAGGTCACACCAGTGTCTGTGAGAGCTACAAGTTCAATTAAATTTGTAGTGATCTATTCATTTATTGATATTAGATTAATTTAACATTTTACATTTCACTGGTAAACCTCCACCTGTGCTTGATCTTTCAGGGGAGGTACCATCTCTGTCCTGCTGTGCTTCAAATGTCTCTGCTGTCCTCATCTTTAACATATCTTTTTCCCACCTATACAGGTCTTTAATAGTACTCTTTAAAGACCTATGGGAATTCACTGTATTGTATCATTAGCAGTTTAGGAAGTGAAGTCAACTTCCTCAATATGAGTTATACATTATAAGGCATATAGCTGGGCTCAAACTGGATGAATGGACTCATTGTTTAGTATGTTCCCAAAACTGATACTGCCATATTTGAGTTCTACTTATAGTTCTATTATACAGGAGAACTAATATATTGTGTTACTATGGCAACGAAGAACTGACAAATGTGGATTAAACATTTTTACCATTTTCTTTATTATTATAATAACAAATATTATAATATTAGTATTAGTAATATAAGTATTCAGTTAAAATGAGAAAACGTTTCCATTAAAATGTAATCACCACAGATTATATCAGCTTCACTTTCACATCCTTGTTTTAACATTAACATATAACATGTATAATATAACATATTGAGATGTCATTAAAAAGTGACACTTACGTCAAAAATGTTTAATCTATATTTGTCAGTTCTAACTTTTTGTATAGTACAACATTTTTTTCCACAGTTATTCACCACAGAGGGTAGTGTGATACTGAACACATTCCACACAAGGCAGAGTGACCACTATTGGAATCTCGACTCTTAAACAGTGCCCTTTCACTCTTTCAGTCTTGCAAAAAAGGTTTCCCTGTCACAGAGAATTTTTTTTTTTTTTTAAATTGTTGCAAATAATGAAGAATAGTTCAACATTCATTCAAAAAAGTAAACAATATGAAGTGTGATTTAGTTCTGAATGTGACGACCAGTGACCTCAGATTCTCATATGTCACTGAAATGAACAAACCTGATTGTACGACTGTGTCCAAGTTTGGCCTGAGATGCAACAGAGATGGTGACCAGCTTGAAAGCTCTTTTGTATAGAACGTAATGTGAAAACCAGTCTGGATCCCAGGCTAAAATGAATTTAACTAAATGCTGTTCTAACTCTAAATACACTCATTATGTTTTTAATGTTGCAAATTTTAATGCAGCTTTAATATGTAGTTTAAAAAGATATGTATCTTATATGTCTGAATCATTATGTCTACTTTTGCTGGGCCGCACCTCAGAGGCCAATGTGATTTGAGGTCCATATGCTATGTGTTTGTTCTTTAATATCAGCAGCTGTTAACAACAATGACAATGAACACAACTCCGAACATAATCACAGCCCTCCTGGTCCATGTGCTTTCCTAAAGCCCTCTTTAGCCTACAGTAATGAGCCCTCTTTGTTCCTCATGTTAAGAGCTTGTCACTTGTCACGCCTCTCTGCCCCTGTCCACACACACTTAGTGTATCTCCTTCTTTGGCACATTGTGAAAACAAGAGAAGTCACAATAACACAAAATTATTAGAGACAACTCATTTCCTGATCATTTCACATGAGTTCAGCTCAAATTACCCAACCTGAAGTGTGTGGACTGGACTACACCAACAAGATAGACAATACACCATTTTCACTGATGTCATGTAGAGTTAGAATGTTCGTTGCAGAATACTGGAGAGAAAACATAAAAATATAACATAATCTTGATCCCACATATCAAAACAATTATTTTGCAAATCAGGCCACAACCATCAGGGAAACACACAATGTTTTTAAATGGAAAAAAACAAGACTAAATACTCGAATGCTTAGTGAGAAATGTAATATCATGGTGTAAAAAATCATTTAAGTGTCCTCAGAGTGACGTAAACTTTAACACCACATAATGTCACCCATTTAACAACTGATGAGGCAATCACATGCGTACACTAAACCATTATTACTACTCTGCAACGCAATCCTCTGTCTGTTGTCCCTGTACTCTGCATTGGAATAAAAAACAGCAATGTCTCTAGAAATGCCTCCACAAAGACAATACGGCTTTGCAAAGTACAATGTACAAAAAAAACAACAAAAAAACAAACAAACTGTTATTCCTATGATAAACAGTGGTAGAGTAAAACTGGTAAAATGTTGTAACCATAATTCAAGAGCACGTATGTTTTGAATTAGGCCTACCCTTTTTCAAAAAATCCTGGGGATCCTCCAGTCGATTCAGATTCCGCATCAGTCACAGTATTTTAGTTCAACAGGAGTATACCCAGACTAGCTCATTTTGTCAAAGTATGGAACTACATACAGAGGGAAATGATAGTAGAGAAGTGAGCCTACAATGAAGTGGCTGTTACAGCAACTACAGACAGACCAGAAATGGTACTTCAAGAGCAAGTCAGTCCCACTCTCAACATTCCCCACCCAAACACAACAACAGCACAACAGGCTGCTTTCAACTCAGAGACAGAGCACATCACTGTTTTGGGATGATTCGCAGATATTTCGGGAAAATCCTCTCATCATTTCACCAAAATAAAATGTGACCAATCAAATCAGATCTGACTTTAACTTGAAATGTTGAACAACACTCTCCAAAATAATACTGGTGTTGGAAAAATGAAATAAAAAGTGACAGGGGTGCAAAAAAGACAGATAAATGGATAATGATATTCCAATATTTATTTTTTGAAAGGCAATAAAAAAGAGCCTCTTCTGTAATACAGCAACTTGATAAAATAAATCTCTAAAGAAATTAAAATGTAGTCATGTAAAGTAAAATAACAAAAAAGCCCTTTCAACTTGAAATGCATTTTTAAACTAGTTTTACGTTGTGGCTTTTTCTTAGGTTTTCAGGTTATTATATTTCAAAAAGCATTTAACTTGACAACAATAAACCATGCCGAGTCTGGAGGCAGAGAACTGCGGTGGGCCAGTGATGACAGCAAGATGATAAACTGTTTCTATTAAAACTTCATTTTGAAATGAATGTGATGTGCCATGAGGAGTGCTGCTGTGGCGCTCAGCAGTGATAAATGGGTGAGAACACAGGGCTGGGAAGAGCAACAGGCAGACTGACGACAATAGGAAAAAGCTGTCTATCTCAACTCCATCAGCAGTCAGGAAGTGAGCAGATAACACTTCTGAAGCCCTCAGCAAACTGTTTAAACACACTTTTCATCTGTGGGAAGTTAGATGGCAAAAGACTGGGAAGGTACATTGCAGATAAGAATACAGACACTTATAGATGGTTTCTTTTCTGTTAGAGAACTTTACAACACACCTACTTTTGCATCACATCCACTACTCACCATAGAAAATTATGATTAATAAGGATTTGTTGTAGACTGATTTGTAACCATCAAAACATAGGGTGCAGGGCATTCTTAACTCATGATACTAATAACTGTTAATCAGTCATTACAATAAAAGTATGTCAAAATAACAAAAAAAACTTAAAAATGTAAATTGCCCAATCTTCTGTGAGATGTGAATATGAATCATCAATTTATTACCAATAAATGATACTTAGTCTTTATTCCTCTACAGTTAACTTTAGAGCAAAACATTGTTATTGGGATCATGAGAATAGGTATTACTACTTTTGAGAAAACAAAATTCACAGACTTGTTAAGCATCATGTTTTATAGCAGCTTGCACCAGCACTAAAATAAAAAGTGAAAGAACAACAATCACTTCATTATAACACCATTGGAAGCCTTTTCAGATCACTTCTGTTCTCAAATAAAGTCTGGCTGCTGTTTTGTGTGGAGGACAGCACAGCTTTGCCCTTTATTAAGGACAGGGAAGCAATTAGTCCTGTGTCTGCACTGGGGAAGTCATGGGGTCTCAGTCTGTCACCTACTGTGCCTGGACCACAGCCCCTCCAGCCCTCACCTGCAGCTTGCAGTCT